CACCAGGTTTTGAATTTTTAAAATTTACTGAAAAAAAAAAAAAAAAAAAAAAAGAGGCAACATTAATGATTATTAACTGTATTAAATATGCAGTGCATCCCGCCATGTACTCCCTCTGCCCCAGTTTTGTTCTTGTGGCATATCGGCACTCCGGCACCTCACAAGGTAGACATTGTGGTCTTTTCAGCACTCCGGCCAAAAACCGTTGCCTACCTCTGTGATAGCCATAGTCCATCCACAACCTCTTGTCAATACTTTTGTAGACATCCTGATAAAGGAGATTTTTAAGGAGGGTTTTGAAGGAATAGAGGGAAGCAGCTTTTCAGATGTTTATGGTAAGGACCTCTCAAGCATGAAGGGCAACCTGAAAGAAAGCATGAAGGTGTGTATTTGAAAACCAGACAAATAAATGAGGGAGGCTGGTATCATGGCCTGATCATGGAAAGGATTCAAGATTTCTGTATTGAATGTAAAATAATAACCTGCGAAGGACATTGAAAGTGAACAGAGGCTGCTTGTGTTTAATGCTGTAGAGAAGGGGAAACCACAGGAGCAATGCATAGTGAGGAGTGATGCTCAGAGAGACAGGCCAGGAAAATGATCTTTGCAGCCTCATTCTGGAGGGGTATTGATGGGGAGGATTGCACTGATCAAGCCAAAAGAGGTTTCATTAACAGAGACATGAAATGGTGAGAGCCTGGCGAGAGGTTTAGCTGTATGGATGCAGCAAGAATCTGCAAGACTTCATTACCTCCACTTCAGGACCTCCAGTTAATTCAGGAGGTGCACAGTCCCACCAGAGGAAATGCCCTGTTGGACCTGGTCCTGGCCACAGGCGATGACCTGGTAAGGGGCCTCCAGGTTCTTGACCACCTGGGTGATAGCGATCATCGCTTGCTGGAATTCACCATCCAGTGCAGGGTGTCAGGGGCCTGCAGCAAGGTGGTAGCCCTAGACTTCAAGAGGGCCAACTTCAATGAGTTGAAGAGATTAGTGGGAGAGGTGCTGGGGTTCT